GTACACAGGCAACCAAAGGGCCTCGTCCTTATCTTTTCGGCCTTCAACTTCAACATCATGCTTGGGGTGAGGCCGGTCATTGATGCAATCGCAGCCGGCAACGTAGTGTGTCTCAAGCCTTCGGAGCACGCCACAGCCTCAGAACGCTATCTGCAACGCCTTACATCTGTCCTCGACCCTCGTATTTGCGCTGTGGTCACTGGTGGTCCGCAACGCTGTACTGAGCTGCTGGAGCTCAAGTGGGATCACATCCTTTCCACTGGAAATGCAAATATAGGACGTATAGTCATGGCTGCTGCTGCGAAGCATCGAACTTCCACCCGCCTCCCCTCTTCTCGTGTACACGTACTGACGGCTGTAAGGATTTTGTGGTGTAGTGTAAAGCACGGTCCTAGTGTCTAGACCACAAGTGACCTCATCATATGAGGCTACTTTTCATCTTTCTTTACCTTTCTTCTCGACTTGTGCTTGCTCAACAGCAAGGAAAGGGATACTCTCGCCACGGCAGTTGACTTGTGCGTTGCGGAAGGGTGGAGTTTGGTGAGATGTGGACGTGGTTTCCAGCCATTTTTAGAGTGCCCAAAAACGAATTGTTGGAAACCCAAAGGCCTGTTTAAAATGTCAACCTGGTACAGTATATTGAAAGTTGAATAGAATCTTAGTCTTTCTGTGTACTGGCAACTGGTACAGTATGCCAATGTTTTGCAAGATGTTATTGCCGAGGGCATACACGATAAAGAAATGGCGTCCAAAACTGACGTTATAAACTTTTTGTATTTAGCGTACATAGTTTTTGCAAAAAAAAAGCTGGCCTCAGATGAGGCCATGCCTGACCTCGCGTGTAAGGCAAATCGCTTGTCGTCTAGACACTACGGTACGGTAGTGAGGAGGAGGAGAAAAGTGATTGTATTTTTTCCAGACTACGCAACGTGGATTTCACTTGAGAGTTTTCTAAATCCAGAAGGCCCTCACTACACGTACAGGTAAATCATTTGGTTGTCAATTCTAGCTTGAACCAACTTGATGCATAAAGGTGTTGAAAAGAATAGTTGGCTTACAGCAAGCATTCTTCTTTAAGCAAACTTTATACGAGTAGCATAGAAACATTACGTTGAGGGTTTTCTATTCCGTTTCCAGCTGGGAAAAAATTGAAGACGAGTGACTCTACGCAAGAGAAATAGAAACCGTGTGCAACAAAGTTGAAAAGCGATAAAATGCGCAAATTTCAAAGTTATGATCCCGCTCCGTCGGGATACACGCTCGGGGTGGCGCGGCCGGAGCGATGCGACGTTGTGGCGCAGTTGGTGTGTTCTTTCTACGCGAGAAAATGAGTTCTCCGGCGCGGGGAGAGAGGCAGTCACCGGGCGGCAGCGGCGTTGCCGGTGGCGCGGCAGTGGCGCGGCACGTGCACGCAAGGCGGGTGTTATCCCGCGGGCGTGGCGGGGCGAGAAAGCGGGGCGATGAGGCCGGTGTCGCGCTGTGCGCGGCGTGGGCGGGGGGGCGAGGCGCACTGTATACAGTAACATTACCCCCCGCGGCGGCCGTTAAACGCCGGTGGTGGCGGTGTGTGAGAGAGAGTTGTGTGCGGGGGGTAATGAAATCTCAGCCGCGAAGCACAAACCGGAATTAACTCGATTCGGGGACAAAAATCCTCTCGGAAAG